CCTCCCGGCCCTGCCCCCCCTCGGCGGAAGCTGGGCAGCGAGGGGGGGGGCACTGTCAGGGCATTTTTAGGACACAGCTTAACTGCCCGGGCCTGTCTGTATTGCAGTGAAACCTGGGCTCTGCCCCATTCACATCGGCCCAGGAACCTGTGAGATGGGCTGCGATGGAGACGAGTCCTGTCCTGCAAGGGAAAAGTGCTGCAGTAAGGGGTGTGGCCAGGTCTGCAAGCGACCTATAACCAGAGGTGAGCACTGTCAGGGCATTTTTAGGACACAGCTTAACTGCCCGGGCCTGTCTGTATTGCAGTGAAACCTGGGCTCTGCCCCATTCACATCGGCCCAGGAACCTGTGAGATGGGCTGCGATGGAGACGAGTCCTGTCCTGCAAGGGAAAAGTGCTGCAGTAAGGGGTGTGGCCAGGTCTGCAAGCGACCTATAACCAGAGGTGAGACCCAGATCCCTGGGCAAGACCCTGCCCCAGGACAGGCACCAGGCCCCAGGCCCCAGGAGCCAGCCGTGACCCCACAGAGGGGCCAGCCCTGCAAGCCCAGGCAGAATTTGCCTCCCGCTCACAGCCCCCTGGGCCTGGCTGGACCCATCCACCCAGCTGGAAATCAAACTACCCCTGTGAGCATCCCGGGGATGATCAGTCGGGGGTCCTGCTGGGACACCAGGGGGCTCTGTTGGGGCTCCCCGCACTCCCGGGAACTGCCCCGCGCTGACCGCGCCATTCCCGCCCCTCCTGGCGCACGCTCTGCTCCCTCTCTGGGCAGTTTCCCATCAGCCGTCCCCTCCAGCCGGGTGGCAGGAAGCCGCTCCCTGGGGAAGCCCCAACTCCCGGATTTGCCAGGAGTCTACCGCCATCGGGCCCCATCCCCCAGCAGCCACCGCAGCCAGACTAGGCGCTGTCAGGCCGGTAGGAGTCCAGAAGGGCCGCAGGGCTGAGGGGGGCTCCCTTTCTGCTCTGGGCACCCGGCCCTGCGGTCGGACAAAGGGGTCTGAAAGGGGCCAGCGTATCCCAGAGAACCAATGGCTGGAAGGTGCAGCCGGTCAGCAGGGTAGCTGCACGCCATGCTAGGGAACGGCTCTCAGGCTACTCCGGTGGAACGTCGCTGAGCAACAGAGCTGGGTCGGCCAGACTCTAGAACGAAGGCTTTAGGAGCCCCAGCTCTGATGTCACGCTCTTCTGCTGGCCCAGGGCTAGTAGATTTTGTGGGGCTCCTCTAGGCTCTGGGGTGGGCTCAGAAATGAGGCATTCAGTGACTGGGAGGAGGTGCTGGGGACTAGAATATGGATAAGGGGTCCAAGGTGGAAGTGGGGTGCAGGAGCAGGGTGGTGTACAGGGTCTGGGGGCAGGTGGGGGTGCAGGAACAGGATGGGGTGCAGGAACAGGGTGGGGAGGCAGCATGCAGGAGCTGGCTGAGGGTGTAGCAGGCAGGGGAGTGCAGAAGTTGGCTGAGGTGGGGTCTGGCAGGAGGGGGTTGTGGAAAGGGGTTGGGGGCATTGGGTCAGGATGGGAGGGGATGGGGCACGTACCTGGCACAGCTCCCAGGGGGTCAAAGGTGACTCCAGGCCACCCTGCGCTGGCAGGCACCACACCCG